GGGGTGGGCAGTAGGTGCATGTACTATCACAACCATACCCAGGTGCATCTAACACAACCAAGCTCAATTATCACATTACATGGAGCTGCATCTATGTGGATATTGATACATTAAACACAAAATCAGATAAAAATGATGAAACAAAATAAGATTTTTAGAATAAAAAGTGTTTTAAATGAATTAAACTTCACTTATATGTCAAGTTAACTAATGGAAATTTAGTTACAGCAATAATTCATACCTAGCTGTTTTTTGGTGTTAGAAATTGTCTACATCTTTCATATTTTGAAGAACAATTTAAATGTTTAAAATGGCTTTGATTAGCATAGTGAAGTTTAACTTTTCACACTGGTTTCTTCCATGATTTATTGAATAAAGTGTGTTTAAACTTTTCACAGTGGCTGCATCCATGGGACCGATGGGCAGAGATGTGGATAGCGTGGCAACCATGATGAAAGCCTTGCTAGTACCTTTAATGTTTGAACTGGATCCAATGACCCCACCATTAACTTTTAATACAGAGGTAATGACAGCTTATTGTATAAGTAAAGAGAGGTTTGATATGGAGTAATATTGAGTTTCAAGGGCTGCCAATGTGACAGCAAGATATTAGAAATGTTTTGGTTATATTTAGGACCCACTTCTGATAGCATCTATATTTCAAGGTCCATGTAGAGTATATAATTAGCCTGATTTGAGTTTCAAAGACTGAATTAATCTTAATCTGGCCAAGAAAAACCTCTCATTTCTACTTTTGAGATTAGGAATATGAAAGTAACCGTCCACTGAAGATAGGCTTCTACTTGGAGGATGACTGGTCAGTGCCAATCCCAGCATGCAACAGAGCTGTTGAATTGGCAGTTGCCGCATTAAAGAGTCAGGGACATGAGGTTACAGACAAAACAGTTCAAAATTATTTTTCATAAAAGCATTAGAGTTTGGGTTAGAGAGGCATTATCATTTTTAACTGTAAACTTAAACTTCTTTGTAGAATTAGGCATTTATTCTTAGGTTTGCCATAGAAATAATCAATATACGTGTACTCAACATATTCAGTAATTGTTTCTTTCCATGGCAGGTGGTTCCATGCAGTCCAACCAGAGCACAGGAGATGTACTTGGACTACTATATGAGATTTTGCATGGCTGATGGCGGTCAGAAACTTCTAAAATCTCTGTAGGAGCCCTTTCAGTTGAATAACTAACATATATAGCTAAATTTGTATCTAACCTCTACCAGGTACAGGGTACATGTAATAGATGCATGTCACTCCTCATACAGTATCCAGAAATTGAAGGAATTGGGGGGGGGATTGATTTGCCATTTAAAAAACCCTCTCATTTAGACACCCACTTCTCACTGGATCTGCTTGTATTGTTCATTGTGTGACAAACAGTTAAAGACATATAAAATGTCATATCAGAATATTTTGTCAGTTTGGTAATTAAATTATATTCAGTCTTAATAATGTTTCTTAATTGGTGACATTGTAAACATATCTGACTATTTCTGTTCAGAGAAGATGAACCCATATTTGACCCTACCATTAAAGGCCAAGTTTCAGTGCTAAAGCTACCAAAGATCTTACGTACTACACTGGCAATACTACTGAAACCCATGGCAAGTGCTTATTACATTTCACTCACTTTATTTATACTAGTGAATTATTTGAAGTTAGTGTTTATCAATTTTGTGAATAGACAATAATGCCACTGTTACTTTGTGAACTTAACTGTTTAAAACAAGTGCTTTAATTTTTACTATTGTGTAAAATGCTTGTGAACAATCTTGCTATAAAGAGCTTTGCTGCCAACACTCCCCTTATTGGTCATTGTTTTACATTTAGTGGTTACATATATCACATCTCATTTTTCAGACGCCACTTCTTAGCAGAATGATTTTATGTCTAAATGGATTCAGGTATGGAATGTAAGGAGAGTGATATAGTGTCTGCTTACACATTTTTCTCTTCCATAATGAAAGGTAATATATTTGTTATTGAGGAAAACAGATACATTTGATGACATCAGTTATTCATTCCTTCATGATAGATAATAATATATTTATAAAAAAATGTTTATTTTTGCATAGGCATATTAAAAGGGAGGAGTATGTGCTCTTCCCTTCTTTTTTTTTAATCAAAATGTTATCCTGGCTCATGGAACAAACGCCATTGTGGTGTATATAGAACATACCCATATATACAGGTATATGTGTGTGTGTGTTTACTGGTATATTAATTACTTTGAACAATGAACACATACTTTTTGAAAATGATATGTTTGTCATTGCAGGTCGATCAAAGACATGAATGAGAAAAAATGTGACATCCAGGTAAAACAGGCAGTGAATTTTTCTGAAATTTAATCTGGTCCATGAATGATGAAATGCTCGCACATACACACACACACACACACACACACACACACACACACACACACACACATGCATGCGCAGAGAGAGAGGGAGAAAGAGAGACAGAGTTTTTGTTTTTGACAAAGTATAAATGAAATTGTTAAATATGGTTGGACATGTTTTCAACATTTTCTGCCTGCCAAAATCCCTCAAAGTGATTTGCATAAAATCTTACATAATGTGATAGTTTTGGGAATAGAACTTCATATTTACAATTCTCCAGAGACCTAAATAGTTGTTTGCTTCTTCATCAGATACACATATAGAAGTTCCTAACAATTTTTGCCTTTTAAGGCCAATCATTGACATAACCTTAAATTATTTTAACTTGGCTGTAGGAGTGGCAGTTGAAGATTCTGCAGGATTGGGAGAGGCTTGGTCTAGATGCTGTTGTATGCCCAGTTGCTCCTTGTGTGGCTGTACTGAATGGCTACCCAGCAAAGTGCCTCGGTATGGATGTAAAACCTTGGATAAATAAAACTTATTTGCCCAAGATGCCAACAAATATACTACGTACTACTTGTGATTACTAGCATTACATCATATATAGCCACCATACTTTTTTTAATGTCTTGTTAAGTAAATGTAATGATGTTAATCCTTTCATTTAGGTGCTCTAAGCTACACAGCATATTACAATTTAGCAGACTTTCCAGCTGGTGTGGTGCCAGTGACCACAGTGACAGCAGAGGATGACCAAAATCTCAAGTCTTACTACAATCATGATGTTCTTTGGATGAAAAACATGAAAATGGTAAATACCATTAGTTGATAGTTCACGTAAAATATATCTAACGTAAAATGTATCTTTCCATTCAAATTGGCTGATATTTCTTGTGAACTTACACATTTGTCTGAAATCTCACACACACACACACACACACACACACACACACACACACACACACACACGTAATTGTTAACATTTCTTACATCATCATTCACATAATGTTTGTAGTGTTAGTAAATGCCTAATCTGTTTACAAGGCCTGATATCTGTCACTTTTCCCATGTCATCCAAACTGATGTTTTGGTCTTTGTAGGGTTGTGTTGATGCCATTGGCCTTCCTGTTGGAGTGCAGTGTGTTACAAAGCCTTGGCATGAAGAGTTGTGCTTGAGAGTTATGAGGGATGTAGAAAATGGACTGAAAAAAGATTAATCAGTCAGGTGTTTTCGGTAATATTATAGAAAACATCTGCTGCAGCAATCCAAGTGGGAAAAGACCCAGATTATTCATTACGAGTGACCAAACAATGATCATAATCTTTGCTGACAAACATTGAAATTTGAGAGAGAGAGACTGAGAACATGAAATTCATCTGTTGCGATAATTTGAGGCACTTGCAGTTTTACTCTCAAGGGGTGCTTCTAGAATGTAATTGCTTACAGTGGTTTTAAGGATGTTTCTCTAAAAATTAATTTCAATGTGAAAATTAATTTCCTATGTGAAAGAAAGGTGTCAAAATTGATTATATATATATATATATATATATATATATATATATATATATATATATATATATATATATATATATGTTTATAAGAAATTACCCTTACCAAAAACATGAGTTTTGTAATTTGTTTTGTGGATTCAAACAAGAATCATAATACATGCTTTCTGATGATCAAAAGACTAGTACTTATTAAGTAATTTAAGAACTAAAATGGCTACAGATGTAGCTTCTGAAATTTTAAGAGGTTGTTGATAACGTGTTTACACTGCCCGCTTGGCTGAGCTTGTGGTGAGTGTCTTCCTATGGAACGAGATGTGGTTTCATCCTCATCCATATCAGTCCTTCACAAATGCTTCTTGCTAGCTCCTCGCCTGGCACTCATCACTGAGAGATTTAAGCATGGGGAAAGTACCTGGGCTGGCAGTGAAAGAGACCATTCCCAGAGACTATCGTACTAACTTTGGATCCGAGAGGATTCTCGCGTAATTGCAATTAGCTTGGGTGGCTAGCTTAGATGTCTGTCACACCTGCTGAGGCTGATAGGGGGTAATTAATTATCGTTAAGCAGCTTTAGTGGGCATCACAGATGTTAAGCCGCTTGGGGTGAAAGCAATTTAGTGAGGAACCCCTGTTAGATCGATCTAGGGATGGGAACCCAGTCAAAGATGTTGTGCATATGCTCAATTTCAGTGCCTCATGTGGCAACTCTGGCTGTATCTTCCACAGGATGGTGAGAGCAGCATGGTAACAGCCAGTCTGAATCAGGGTAAAAAAATGTGACAAGCATATTGTTATAAATGTAAACCACACTGAGATGAAGTTCGTAAGTCCAGAGGTGCACCGCTTTAAAACTTTTGTTTTGAAAGATATGTTTAAAATACAGTAGGCTTTACTTTTTCAAGTACTTTCATGATATCATAATTTTTGTTCTGTCAAAACAACTCGTGCCTAAATAATTTCATATTGTATTTTATTGAAACTTGGACAGACTGGAAAGTGAGACATTCAGTTATTATATATACATCAACAGAGCTATATACAATACTATACAGAAAATGTACAAGTATAAATAATGAAAACAGAATTTTAACAAGAAGACAATGAAAAACAATTTTCAAAGATGAAATATAGTAATATATATATATCTTTCTATATTTGAGACACATGCCCCTTTGAAAACATAAGATGAGGGTATGGAGAATTCCTTTAGATACACATCAAAATATTAACAAAGTTAAGGACACACTGAAGCTTATATCTATATGGAAGTATTTGGCCTATTATATGGGCTGCTGATAAATTCTCACATATTGTATATACTGAACTAACATGAATCTGCTCTTTAACATTAATAATCTTCATTTGATTCTTTTCTTCATAAATTATCTCCAAACCAACACAGTTTAAAATGCAGCATAAAAGTGCTATATTAAACAAAACAAAACAAAAAACAACTATAATAAAAAAAATGCTTAGCTTAAAATAGAGAAGTAATGAACTACATCATGACCTATTGAAGAGTGCTTAATAAGTGGTATTTGCTGGGGTACATATGACAGAAAGACTACAGGTTTTATATTAGCACATACATATGCTCATTTTCATACTTGAACATTTGATATGTAAAGTGTTTTTTTTTTTTGTTTTTTTTTGTTTTTGGAAAAGTTACAATTCCAATTAAACTATCCTATAGTGAGGTTTTGAGATTCATTTACTCAAACCATCTTACAAGACCTTTAATAACCACAATCTGCCTTGAAAACAATTACTTTTAACAAAAAAAGGGGCATAACTGTTGATTGTCTAAAGCAAGGTGATGGTCAAGGTAACTACCTGTTACAATGGTCACCCTGAGCTTAATAACCATGGATTAATACAGCATAAGCAGTGATTTTAAGAGACTAGTGAGTACCAAACTAACAATGCTTTAGGTAACGCACATGGTACCTAGACAGCCAATATTACCAGTGATGATGTATATTAACTTAACTACATTTTTTGCCAACAAACTAAAGGAGTCAATATGTAACAAGGAATGAAAAAAATTAACTGAAAGAACACCCAGTGTTTCTTCAGAAAAACAGATTGAACTAAACACCCTTACTGGGTGAAAACATCCCATTAAAAACCTCCATTAAAGGAGATATTCGCACAACTATTTATATTTACATTAAATAACCCACATTTTATAATTATTTGGAGAACAAAACCCTTACTTTCTTTACCATATAAATAAGAGAGAGCCTAGTCTAATATCTGTCTTTTACAGGAAAAACATTATGTACTTTAGCACACACTGACTGATAAACAGGACTAGCCTATAAATTTGACAATTCAAATGAATAACGATACCTTCAAAATGTTTAACAAACTAACAAATCCCAAGAAATGTTACAAGGCCCTTATTGGAATTTTTTGGGGAAAAAGAATGTTTTCCATTTTCATGTTTGATATTATAATATATTAGGTAAAAATTAGTGATATGCTCTTACAAAAGACCAGAGGGCTAAGATTATGTCAACAACAGAATCATGTAATTGTAGCTTAATGCAATCACCTGTCAAAGTACTATCAAGCTGTCCATTAATAATTTTTATTTACATTTATGAAATAATTATGAAATAATTATCCCGGAAAACCTAATTCACTGAGACCAATGAAAGGCTTGGAGTTGTGCTGCCATACCTAAAATCCACACAAGGTATTAGGAAACAAGCAAATATTATGCTGACCTTTCTTACCTACTGTCAATATATATATCTGAAGACTTCATCACAATAATATGCCTCTTTAGTAATATCTGTTAATAGTAAAGGACACAGGAGGTAAGGATACAGAGAAAAAAAAGAAGATGTAATGTACATGAAACAGCCATTTAAATGCTTGAGATTTACCTGTAAATCAGTTCAACTGCTGTGCCACCTGATATTTATAGTATATACTTCTAAGAGGTTTTGGCACAAAACTATGCAGGGCTTTCTGTTATATATTTTTTGTCTCGAGTCCTTATCTCTGTATATACCATTATATATCAATCATGAGTATACACTTGACACCCAAAGTAGTGATTACTAAATTTTAGTAATTTACAACATCCCCGCATTTCTACCATTGACATTTTCTTCCATATTTTTGCATTCCATCAAGCACACATTGCACAGGAGTACCTTGGATACATTCCAAAAATACTTCCGGACAACATGTCTACCTCACTGACTCCTTTTCTTATAGACTTCTATGATGACAAACCTACACATGAAGCCACTCCCTTAGCTCTAGTCCTTCAATCATACTGAACCTATGAGTGATGCCCCTCCCCCTTGTGTTCCTCATCTTCCAATGTCAGTTTGAACTGTATACTGGCAGAGTCCGAGTCTTTACATCCTGGGCTCACTTCCTCTTGCACGTTGTCCAGGTGTTCAGAGTTTATGTTTGAACTTTCATTGGTACGTGATTGCTTGTTGACAAAGCTCCCTGAAGGACTGAGGGGGATCATGCTTTGGTACCAATCTCTGTTATCTTCCAGTGTGTCTAAAATGTCCTGAGCATCAGGGTGCACAAGGTCTGCCCATGTCTCCCACAGAGGGTGAACTATATAGTCTATGAAGCCAACCTGATTGAAAGGTGAGAAATACAGTCAAGGTGAAAACAAGGAAAAAAATCTTTCTTTCGCTTATTTTTAATTGTGAAAAAACTCTGTAAACTATGAAGCATTTTAGAAGTATAAGTATTTCTAACACATGTTATATGTTATAATTTTGACTTTTTGGTTAAATTTCTTTTGACTGCTTTATACCAGTTGGCAAATTAGGTAGCAACAAACCTGTGATTTCTCCACAGTGGCATTGTGCTTATCACACATTGGGCTGATATCTAAGTCCTTCTCTCGCTCTATGTCTCCTTGACGGAAAAACTCATCCATGATTCTTGTTGTCCACTGCTTGTACAGGTCCAAGGGTTTGGTTGGGTTGCTTAGATCCGAACAGTGGACCATGTTTTGTAGAACCTACAAAAGACAACAGAATAGTGTAATTCATGTGAACAACCCTAATTTTTTTTTTAATAAGTGTCTAACCTGTGTTTCTCATGGGTTTCATTTGAACCAAAAATTGATAACATTTGCATTTTGGAAAATAAAATCCTTCCCTAGTATATATAAATGGCTAATAATTTCAAGAGCGAAAGTTTTGTTATAGCCAGCACTCATATTACCTGTATTCTGTCAGTGTAGTTGTCTAGAAGAAGAACACCTGAACCAGCCACCTTCTTGGTTTCAACCATTGTTTTCAAGTCTGCCAGCAGACTCATGTGCTTGGACATATCAGTAGCCAGCACCTGGATGGGGTAAACAAGTGAAAAACAAACATTAATTAAAATGTACAGTATATGCCCAATTCCATGAAGAATGAATTACATTTAATTTCTTAGCTGATTCATGCATATAATTTTACAGGTGAATTATACCCAATCTGGCCATGGAAATTCTAGGATAACATCACACTGTATGCAATACATTCAGACCAGCAAAAATGAATATTTAAACATGAAGAAACAACACAAAAAGAGAAATAAAAATTCACCATGTCAATGACCATCCTCCTCAATGTCTGTCTTTGTTTTTTGTTTAAGTTAGCAAATATGTCACAGTTTTCTTCTGTTAGTAATTTGAAGGCCACAGCCAAATGGTGATTCTCTAAAACTGACTCATCATTGTACATCAAGGCTAATTCTGAACCTGGAATAATAATGATTTAATCAAAAACTACTTCAAGCTCTAATACAGCATTCACTAACCACCTTTCACTTGAACCAGTTGCATTTGCAAATATGCAGGAAGAAAACCAGACAATATGTTAAAAATGGAGTTTAAATTTTCACCTGAATTAACTCAGTGACCTTTAATGAGATGTAATTAGTTTGAATATGAGCGTGAAGAGACGTACTGGTATTGATAAGGAACTGATTTGTGACTCCTGGGTGATCAACATCATGTATTGCACATGCAAATATTGCTGCTAAAATCTCCAAGTCCGTAAACACATTCTGAAAAAGGAAAGAAAAAATGAGTTAATTGCAAATTTTATAAAAAAAGATTCTTCTTCTGTTATTTGGTTCATTTTTTAAAAAAACATAGTATTATATTGTTAAAATAATATTCTTAAACTTAGTTTTAACTAAATTGTTGTTGAAATCACCTCATTATATCACTGAACTTATTAAAAATTTCAATGACATAATGAACTAATTTCAGCAAAATAATTTATAATTTATTGAAGTTAATTATCAACTGTGCCAAGAGTAAGAACCCCACCTCTAGAGCTGGTGCCGATAACAGGACGTGAGTGGATTGAGTTACGTCCGCTGCATGAACGTTGTTATGGTATGGAACATCACGGCGATAATGATCTTCTAAATGCATCAAGTACGTGAGAAGTGTCTGTGGGGGAATCTGAAAGTTCTTCAACAATTCCCTTTCCTGGAAAAGAGAGAACCATACATCAAACAGATTGTCTGCTATGCGTTGGTAGGTTAGCTTACAAAGTTGAACTTTAAAACAAGACAAAAAAATTATTGCTAACTTTTACTATTTTTGAATGAAAAATTGTATTTCATGTCATATTGATGTGAGTAGTGAAAACCTTACCCTGAAAACTGTATACACCACACAAGTCAAGGGTCTGTTTTTGGAGTATTCTGCTATTTTAAATATGTCCACACCCCACTTGTCTATATCATTTAACAACTGAAAAACAATGATGTACATTTTCTAAATGTTGAGATATAATGTTGAGATATGGGGATCTAAAGATACAGTTGAGATTAAAGTATGTAGAAGTACACTTCTGTTCCACAACTTAAAATTAAGTTATTTTTTTTCTCTTTCAAACTTCAGGGCATTAAAAGAGGTGCCGTGAGTATCAGTAAAATAATTCATTCTTTTTTTCAAAAATCACTTGTCCAAGTAAAATAAAATAAATGACACTGAAAAAAAAAACAAAAAACAATGGGATTCTGATCAGATTATTCCTACCTTTCCTAAACCATCTTCATTTGCACATTCAACTCCAAAACGAGGAACAGAACCTCCAGTGAAGCTGTTGGCATGTTTCAGTTTTCTCACTCCCATGATTTGAGACATGGGAGTCTTCTTGTCTTTTATCTCTCTGTTGTATTTGTTGCTCTGATTTTGGTTGTGCTCATGATGATCATCCCCCTTCATCACAGGAAGATCCATTTCTTGTTGTTTATCTGAAAATATGACTCACCACTTTAGAGAATGAATTCTATGTAATATATTTTGAAATGTCAAATTTACTAAGAAAGCAATCATTTGTCATAGGACTGTTTAACTAAATAAAATTTAACTAATGATGATGCACATGCTAAGATCTCTTACCTAGAAATGTGCTGCAGATGTATTCTGATATCTGGTTGCCTGATTTGCTGGACTCTGCAAAGTGGCTTAGTTCACGATTCAGCATCCTCTTAAACTGTAATAAGAAACACACTTTGTCAAAACACATTCAAAATCACACAATACGCCATCAACTGTTAAGATTTGATGTATAATCTTTTTTAAATTACAACAGAGTAATGGTATTATGAAGGCCTTCTCAATTAACAACTTTTTTGCTACTAATGAGTATATATATATATCCACTAAGAAAAAAAAACAGTCACCTTGCTGGAAGCCATATCTGATACAGATCTGTGCGTTTGTATTGTCTCCAACTGGTCTAAACACCAATCTAATTCTTCCAATGTCTCTACAGAAAGCTTAGTAAAGGCTTCCTCTGTAAAACGTGAAGGGATATATATATAAGTATAGAAAAAACATTTTAAGTTTCAAGCAATTTAAAGCAAGCATTCTTTACCCTATTCATACTCCTCAAATTTGAAGAAAATTATCTTGTAAGATGCTTTGGCACAACTGAAATTCAATGTTCACTAATAAACTTACCAGACAATTTTGGAGTATTCAAATTCTGGTGCTGGTTCATTGTATTACCACTATGTGCTGAACCCCTACGTGTTCTGAAACGAATTATAAAATACTTTCATAACACAGAAAAACACTGATTCTGTTCTGAAATGTATTACTCGCAAACTACATTTGGAGGCATATTCTTCTCATTTTATCTGAGTAACGTAAGCAGTACTGTCAGAAATCAGCACAGGATGGAGTCACTTCGCCTCCGCTCCAAGACATTTAGAGGGAAGTCATAATGATGGCTCCTGAAATCAGCAGGGCATGTATTACTGCACTTAGAGGTGGAGGGATGCATCGAAGAAAGAAGGTGTTTGTGGTCTAAATACGATATGTCTCGTTTTCTGGAGTAACACACGGAAGTCCGGTGCTAGATTTACGCAGGGGCTGTGATTTATGGTTTCTGTCGAGGGCAGTAGGTGATGAGGGAGAAGATCATTCAAAACCAAGTAAGCTTAGGGTTATGAGTAATATTATCTGATTAATGGGCTTATCTAATTGGGCACCCATGTTTTTAAGGTGGTGTACCTCTAATGTGTTCTTCCTCATGGATAAGGACTCCAACTTTGTTTATTTATTTCACATATTTGCAAGGTAAGTTGCAACCAGATGTGTTTTGCTATGTAAGTAGTTTACACTTAATGCTTGAATTTTCCCACTTCAGGTAGGAACATGAATTATGGACGGAACATGCTGTAACCAGGAAGCAACTATTAGCTCAGCTGCATGAACTTGCAAACACGTTGTGGCTCATTCCTGTTGATGTGAATTAAGCACTGACACCACCTACGCCCACCTGTTTTCCCTCCACCTTTGGTCTGCCAATGAATATAATGTCATATTATGTTTTCATCTGTATTTGGTTCATTTGTCTGTTAGTAGATGTAATAATCTTGACAATTTCTTTTTAATTTTCAGGATAGATAATTATTTCTTAGTAAAGCTACATGTACAGCCACAACTATGCCACTATTCTTTGTGTGACTTTACTTGAGTTTTCCTCAATATCATAATTCAGATTGCCTTTAATGTGATAAGTGGCTGCATGTATAGACCATCGATTATATCTTGCTTAACTCTCCATTAGACCAGTTTACTGAGTGGTAATAAGAAACATGCAACCTACTCCTCAGCTTCGTGTCCTCAGTCAACTTCACATGTTTGTGAATGTGCAGGAGAATATATATATCTGTGTCAGTGCTTTTACCCAAAGATACAGGATGTGCATGTTACACCCTAAAGTGAACTTGTGAAAGGAAATTACATATACCTACGACATTTTCAAATTACAAGAAAAGAACAGAATGAAACAGACCATTTACAGAGGCACATGCAAGTCCAACTGATATGGGAAATATGTCCTACCAGTTTACCTGTTAAGCATAGCAACAAATTACATTGTATATTATGTCTACTGGGCCGTGGCAATAGTCTGAAGGTGAACCTTCAGATCCAATGAACCCATGACTGAAAATTGATGAAAATGCTACAATTTTTCAGACCAATGAACCTTGGGACCAATGAACTTTTGGACTGTCGAAACACTCTTGTGTCTACTCCACTGCCTTGAGTCAAATTTTGTTCATGGCTGTGTATGATGACTTAACAGATAAGTAACAGATAAATTGTTCTACAAATACAGGTGCACTAATAAAAGTATAACATTGCACTAAAAATCAAACACCAAAAACTCCCCTTATCCCATCACAGTGAACACAAAGCAAATAATTATTTTTGCTTTTAAATTCAGTGAACTTTTTTACATTGCCAATCATAATTTTGTTAGTCTTTTCCCTTTTTGTTTGTTTATCAAATTTTTTTGCACTGTGCATGCTTAAGAAAATCATGACCCTTATGAGATGCTCAGTCCGATATCCTGGTCCTTTGGAGAGCAGCCAGCACACTCAGACACTTGGCGCTACATACATCATTCATTCAGCTCACATACAGATCTAGATAGTGAACAGATTGATACTTTTCCACATGAAACACTAGGATAATGATCCTGGTAGTGGTCAGAGTCTCATCATGAACCAGTAGAAGGCACCGTGGCGCCTCCACCACACAGGTGTTCATGCAGACATTGTTTTGGGAATTTAAGTATACACGATATCTAAAGTTGGAGGTGTCATCTTTGCTTCTTGCATTCAATACCAAGCTGATGCAGAATAATGATCAGAATAATAACAAGGAGCACATGACACTCACTTTCCCTACAACACTGCACACAGATTATAAATCTCATTAACATTCTAGTGTCACAATTATAGAGCTGTGACAGCCATTACTGGATTTTGAATGTCTATAAAATGACACTAAATTCATTATTTAATGATATTATGAGTTAAATGATACATTATTATTATTAGTTTAAAAATAATAACCACAACCTAAAAACATACAAAAATAAAAACACTCACTTATGCTCACACCATACAGAGATTGTAAAACAAAAATTACATTTTTATCAGCCGATGGCATTCAGTCAGAAGCAGTGACAGATGTATTGGTGTATTTACAGTGGGATATCACCCAAGATAACCCAGTATTGTAATTTAGTACAAAATCTAGTGAAATTTCCGGGATTTGGAGGAGAGTGGGGCACATCAGAAATAACAGCAGTCTGGAATGCCATGCAACATAATGAAGTGCAGAATTTCACCACAGATATTTTTTAAAAGTTCTGTTGAATCACAGTCTATTGCACAAAGGTGCATGTATAAATCTGCAACATTTAACTGCCACTGTTGTACTGCTTTCTAAGGTAAGAAGGCATTCCTGGTATATAAAATTTACCATTTTAACTTGAAATTTAACCCAATCTCATGCAAATTCTGGTACACCTCATGTATAGTCATGCAGGGCTGAAGGACTTGCTTTAAGCCCGTATGATTCCCACTTCCCCATATTATGACGCTTTTTCATCATATCATATACCAAGCAAATTCCTGCCTTAAATGCATGCATCCAATAATAACAGATGATTTGAGAATTATACCTTTAAAATTCATAAGCTGTTTAACTGCAATTGTCTCTATACAAGTGAGTTTACTTACTTGCTTGTTGGAGCATTTGTGAGGAGAATATAGTTGTTCCGCACACTGCGTAAACTGGCCAAAATCTGGGCAAACGGAGTCACAATCAAGTCATCTGCATGCCTGAAAATAAATAATACTCATTTGAAACTGTATGAAGATACAGATTATGGGTTAGTTTTTCATATTTTGTAGGTAACTGTATCAGTGGACTGATGAGATCAAGCTCTAATGCCTATTATAAACAAAACTTTCCTCTGTAATGACTATTGATGAAATGAGGGAGGAAAACATTTTCCTGTACATATTTAAATATACAAATTAAGTTCAGTTAATATGTCATATCCCAAGTGCTCTACAACATTTACACAGTGCCAAACAGAATAACACACAGTAAGACTTTCCCATTAACTAACACACAATGCCATAATGAAAAGAAGTTCTGATAAATCTTTAAGAGGTTTGCTAACTGAAATCCATCAAAAGACAGCATATAATACCCTCCTGCACACTGTCAATATCCATATATCATCATACAACTTACAATTCCTTTTGCTTCTATCTCAAACATCAAAGTCTGATTCTCTTCAAAGATCAATCAAGTTTAGATACATGCAACTCAAATGCAGCAGCAACATGTCTATACACCTACCTAAAGTGCACGGCTGGTGTCACAGCCAGTGTCTCTACTATTAACCACATCACGATATACCACTAGTCTAGATCAATCTCCACATATGGGATATATATCCTAGCTGCTTTGATGACTTTCCAATACAGAAAGAAAACACATGCACATACTTCATGCCTCACTCTCAAAATGCACCTGCAGCTCACAGGTAGACTTTCTTTTAACAAGGTGTAATTGACAAGAATGGAAGACTATCAGGACACCGGAAACTGACTTGAGATAAAAGATAAGAAGTCAACCACAACAATTGAGCGGTAAACCTATGATTTACCTGATTAGGGTCAGAAGTGAAGGCTAATGGGAAATTCAAATGCTACATACTCATTGCATCAGATGAACAATAGATGGCATGGCGTGTGGGTGTATTTGGTTTTATAATCACTGGTATATCTATGATATATCAAGAAGCAGGGCTGACGCAGTGCCCATCAACACACACCCTGCTTTGCAATACAAATAAGGTACAGATGAAGGCTTTTACATCAATTATATTTAAATATTTGCCTTTTCTTTAAGTGTAAATCACCAAAATATTGAGCATACCAACCCTGATAAAAAGAAAACTACAAAAATGTCACAGTGATGTTATTTATATTGAAAAAGCTCACATCTCTTTACACTCAGTCTTTTACAGACAAGTTACAAGGCTTGCCAGAAACAGGACTTATACAGCGAACTCACAATGCATTTCTACTGCTATGCAATATTCCCAATGCTTCAATATGTATGTAAACCTTCCTTACATCAATCACTTCCTAATTTTGCATGTCTTATTTCATTGAAATAATCCAGGACCTGGACTTCTAAAACAGTTCAATGATTTCCTTGTTTTTAATTATTTTTATGTCAGTCAATCCATGGCAAAATTAATCACTGCAAATATAATGGATGTTGAAGTGACAGCAAGAGATTCTTGTTCTCTCAGAGGAGGAAACTCAATACATAATTTAAGTCATTTCTTTAGCCTAGAACAGGATAGTGCCACTGAACAGATCACAGTAGTATGGGCCATGGCAGGGTAACACAGAGGCAGTTACGCAGAACTGAGGCAAAAATATACTTAAAGAAATGTAATTACAGTCTCCCTGTTGACACACTGTAAAGGTCCCCGTGATCAAGTTGATTAAGATTTAGAGAAGTTTTTTTTTCTTAATCTAACCATAAAGAGCCTTGTAATGTGCTCTCATGAAAAAAGTTATTTGCAGTTAAGTTTGAACTTTGCCTGTGTTATCTTCAACATTATTGCACTTTATAAATTAGTTCCTTTCACAATATCAGTCAGAAAGATAGTTGCATAATATTCAATCCTCTCCTTTCAAAATGCAACCTCATTCCATCTGGATCCCTTTTCTGAGTATCTTTTGAGTAATTTTCAAGTACAAATTCAGAAACCAGGGTTATTTATTTAGAAGAGCCATCCTGTTCATCTTATCATTATCATCACCAAGTCCCATCAATGGTAATTGTATTCCAATCCTACTGCTCAGCTGCCAGCCAGCCAGAAATCAATAGAGAACAAATACATTTCAATACTGCAGTTTTCCCGAATATTGACTGAAAGAATTGGAGCAGAATGAGTTGGCCATGGTTTTTCCAATGTTTTCATACTTTCATAAGTTATCTGCCCAACATTGCTCCAGAGAACTGTCTTTTTGATGAAACGTATTGGTGAAAAATTTACAAAAAAAAAACAAAAAAACAAAAAAACAAAAAACAAATGACCTTGATATGATATTCATATAATTGTGATCTACCACCCTTATTCAGTAGCAACTTGAACTCGGTTTCCATTACAGCAAATATTGATAAAGCTAACTGAAAAAATCCAATATTTCAGGGCCCTTGAGCTCTTTTTGTTCTTTTAATCATTCCTGCTTTGAAATTGTTGCTGGTTCAGAGATCTCCAACACGAAAAAGCTCAGCCCATTTTTTTTTTCACTTCAAAATCCATGGCAGTGTCCTCTTTTGATGGCAACTTGATCTGAAGTTGGATGGACTTGAATGTTGCTCTGATGATTGGGGGCCTGATGACATTTTACTTTCTGAATGATTTTTCCTCTCTATAAAATACCATGGTAGTCCCTGGTGTCTACATGGAGATACTCAGCAGACAATATGCCATACCCTGGTTTCAGATAATCTACTTGGTCATGGAAAGCTGGGAGATATATCACAAATCAAGGTATAATCAAAATGGAGAAAAAAAAAACATAGGCCAAATGCAGGGTTAATTTTCCTACTTTTTTAAGATTTTGAAATTTGCCAAAAAATTGGATTTATTGTTTGTTCTGCTGTTAACAGAAGAATAATAGCTGAAAACAGGTCTGTAAGTGCATCTGTCCTGAGAAAAACAACGATATATTGCTGTTGTAACTAAATGTTCTCAATGTTTCGATTCCTGTTTGATAAACTAGATAGATGCACTGATCCAACCAATGAAAGGTTTACAGGTGAAACCCTTCATGAATTAATGAACCTTCATAAATGAAATCTGAAAAATGCATTGTATAGGTGACACTCTGTCACAAACTTTTGATGCTTAAAAAAATACTTTCTCTCATTTTTGGGAATTCACCATTCTCTTACCTTGATAAATAGCTGAGAGTTATTTTTTCTGAAAAAGTGTATCTAGTATAGCACCTATAGACAAATTTTAATTCAGTGCAAAGCTTTTCCAGCCAAAAGGAAAGTCAAAGTGACCCCCCTTCTTGCTTTCTGGCCTGGTCTGCCTTGACAAGTTGTTAATAAATGCCATTTGAAATATATCTTCATGTTAAATGTCCATGTTATATTCTTTATGATACTCAATAAGTCATTATGATGACTGAAAAAATGACAGACCGGGTCAACAAATTTGTCAACTCCAATTCAGCAGACTAGATGTCCCCTGATAGTAGACTAATGAGGAAGAATAATACATATCAGAACATGTGACATGGCAAGTTTGGCTTACAAACAAGTGCCATGGTATTTACATGGCGTCAACTCCTGATATGAGGTCCACATTCAGATGTTGTAGGCTGATGTCCACAAACAGGGGAAACCATGAAGAAAATTATACATATTTCATATTAATTTTCATTGTATTTTTCTACATTTTGTCGGAAAAAAAAATTGTACTTAAAATTCATGTGGTTAAATAATCTCAAATATCTTTACTTTTGTTTGGTTTTTGGCTAGTATTATTTTAAAAAATTGCAAACTCGTTTAAATAATGCAAATATGTTAATTTTACATAATGGGGTAATTTTTCTTTTGAAAATTGTCTTAAAGGTAATGACCTTGGCACTTGCCAACTTAGCCAAATTAGCCAAATTAGTCTTTTTTTATATAACCAAATTTATGAAATCTAATTTATTTAATGCAAAGAGAGTAATTTGAATCTACACCTAGAATTTTTAAAGAAGTATTTTCATCACCTAATTTGACCCTGCAAAACCTGAAGTGGCATTACAGGTGGTAATACTACAAAGTATGTCTTGATGTTTTGATATCTCAAGTATTCCTAGTATTCACACATTCAACAACTATTTCTAAGGCAGTGATTACCTGAAGCTGAACCGACTGTAGCTACTAAGACAAGATGCTCTGACTGTCCTAGGCAGTGACTGTGACCCTCTGATGCAAGAAGTCCCTGCACTCCTAGGAAGAGACTGTGAACCTCGGTAAGTTCCACGACAAAGTTGACACGGAGGCATTGGTCTGGCTCCAATGAATGCTAGACAGACTATGAGCTACGAGTGTCGAGGATTTGACTTTTACATATCTACAGTAGTTGATTTTTCACAAACAAGAAAAAAGTGAGACTGGCTTAATCTAATTTAGAAAGACTTCAAATATTGACGGCAGTTCCTGAAATAAATAGGATGATTCTTTTCCTCCAAACAACACATCACTTACTCAGCCTATGGAACAAAAAACTAAAAATCATTAGAAACGTGGTTAAGAAACCATATTTCAACATCGAGATCTAATTTTGTCCATTATCTAGGCCCAGCCATATTGAACGCTGACAACTTTGCCAGAAATGAAAAAAAGAGGAAAAAATTACCTGATGTGCCAGAAAGAATGGTCATTCTCTGAAAATTTAAAATGGGTCCTTTTTTCAGCCATCAAGCTAGCCTCCGGGATGCAGGTCATTATTGAGCAATCTGACTTGCAATTCTTGAAAAGCAACCAATGAAAATTTATTCATTTTCACATCTCTGGTTTAGTGAAAGTATTGATCTGGGAGCCAGCAGCTATGGAGCACAAATAGATGGATAATTTAATGATCAGACTTGCTTAAATTTCTGATCAAATACTGGCCTTGATAAAATGCATCAAATTCAAGCGATCAATCCATTGGTGAAAAGCACAGATAATATGTGCAGCATAAAATTGAATCTCCAAGTTCTCTCACAGCTCTTCAAACAACCAGAATTCTGGTAAA